CAGGAGCCTACCAAAAAGATAATGATGCAGATGAAGCTTTTCTTCTCCTTTTAGAGTCCCTTGAGGATGATTTACAAGGTATATATAACCTGATCAACCTTGTTGATCTCTTCCCAACTGGCTCCAGCTCGTTGCCATCCCTCTTAAAGTTCAGTGTCCAGAAACTGGAGCCAGAAATCAAGATGAGGCCTAACCAGTGCTGAATAGAGGAGAACTAGTACCTCATGGGATTGGGAGACTATACTTGCAGGATAAAAGAGCGTTTGCCTTTTTATGCAGCCAGCTCGCGCTCTTGGTTCATATTCACCAAGGGCTTGGTTTCCCGTCCCCTGATCACCCTTGTTGCTCTCTTCTCAACTGGCTCCAGCTTCTTGGCATCCCTCTTATTCAGCGTATGATCTACAACAATTCCAAAATCCTTTTCACTCATAATATTACTGAGCCAAGTGTCCCCCATTTTGTAACTGTTCATTTGTGGAGTTTATTTACCCTAGGTGGAGAACTTTGCCCTTATCCCTGTGAAAGTTCATTCTGTTGTTTTCAGCCCAATGCTTGAGCTTATCAAGATCTTTTTGAATTTTGTTCCTATCTTTCAGGGTATTAACACTCACTTCTTAGCCATTGGTCCTGATATTTCTTTAGCTAAACCTAAAAATTTGCCTCCTGGACCAAACTCTGGGAGGCAGTGGAAGACGGAAGGGCCTGGCTTTCTCTGGTCCATCGGGTCACGAAGAGTCAGACATGACTTAACGTCTAAACAACAACAACACCAAATTTTAGGAGAGGAATATGAGAAAGATTTTCTGAATTAAAAGCAGGTTGATGAATGCAATAAACGTTCTTCTGTGGCACCATTTCCCCTTTAAACCCACAAGATCCTCAATTCACTATTAATTCTCTCCTTTGAGCAGATGAGGGAAAAGAGAAGGAATTAAGACTCCATGGGACACTGCCAGAAAGAGGGGAGGATGAAAAGGAGAACTGTTGGGATGGAAATGAATCACTGAGGCGGAATCAGGCAGACCAGAGGAGAGACATATCTCACAGATATCCGAGTGCCGTTGCCTCTGAAGACGAAATGGGAAAAACAACAAACTGGAGCATCAGTGCTCTTCGAAGCTCAGAGTATCCACAAAACATCCCTCTGAGGAAAGGTCCAGTGAAATGTCCAACATGTCACGCTGAGATAAATCTGTGTCACTGTTTGGAGGATGGAGAAAGTTTCAGATGGAGCCCAGAAGAGCCAAGATTTCACACAGGGGAGAAACACAAATGCTTTAGCTCTGACTTTAAAGCACCTCAACCAATGCATTCTCAAGGGAAAGGTTGTAAGTGCACAGAGTGTGGCATGAGCTTCAAGAGAAGTTCAGAACTTGAAAGACATCAAAGAATACACACAGGAGAGACAGCATACAAATGCCATGAATGTGGACAGGCCTTCACACGCAGTTCACATCTTCAAGTACATCAACGAATTCATTCAGGAGAGAAACCCTATGAGTGTAAAGAATGTGGGAAATGTTTCAGTCATCTCTCAGCTTCCAAACATCAACAAATTCACTAAGGGAAAAACCTTATACATGCAAAGAATGTGGGAAAAGCTTCAACCAGAAGAGTGATCTTAGAGTAAATCAGCGAATTCATACAGGAGAAAAACCCTATACATGCAAAGAATGTGGGAAAAGCTTTAGGCAGCTCATACATTTCCAGAAACATAAACACTCACAGTCAAGCGAGAAGCCCTATCGTTGTGAAGAATGTGGGAGAAGCTTCACAGCTAGTTCAGCCCCTACATGGCATCGAAAAATTCATGGTGGGGAGAAATCAGATAAATGTTATTAATATGGGAAAAACCTCTGTTGAAGTAAAGATCTTGTAGAGCACAAATAGTTGACTCTGGGGAAAATCCCTATCCATGCAAAGAATGTGG